GAAGAAATAATATACTAAGTGACATATAAATCCGAACACTCAGTTTAAATGGTTTTATTTTAATAAAATTTTGTATAAGTACTTAATGAAGCATAATAAGTAAATGATAAAAATTTCAAAATGATTGCACTGCTTTAAAGCCCTTTGACCTTTAATAATGTGTGGATGCACCCTGATGTGCTACACATTCTCCAACGCGCCTAGGCCTGCTTCTGATCAGGTGGTCAATGTCCTCCTGTGGTATCTCATTCCAGGCAACCACCAACTTCTCTCGAAGTGCTTCTAGAGTCTGAGGAGGACGTTGCAAATTGAGCAATCTCCTACCCATCATATCCCACACGTGCTCAATTGGGGATAAGTCGGGAGATCTTGGTGGCCATGGTAACAATGTGACATCATTATGTTGAAAGAAGTCTATTGTGACTCTTGCAACATGTGGTCGGGCATTGTCTTGTTGGAAAGTTGGATCTGCCAGGGTGTCAAGATAGGGTAAAAGATGGGCTTCTAGAACTTCGTGGATATAACGCTGCGCGTTCATGTTACCTCTGATGAAGATTAAAGGTGACCTGGAACCATAAGCTATAGCACCCCAAACCATAACTCAAACAGTGTGATGAACATGTCTTTCAACAAAAAACTGTGGATTCCTCCTTTCACCACGTCGCCTTCTAACCCTGGCACGATCATCGTGCATGCCTAAACAAAATCGAGACTCGTCACTAAAGACAATACTGTTCCATTCCTGATCCCAGAGTGACCGTTGTCTGCACCACTCAAGGCGATTACGTCGGTGTTCTCGAGTTAAAGGGAGGACCCAGTGTGGCCGGTATGAAAACAAGCCAAAACTTCTCATTCGTCGGTAAACACTTCGCATGCCAATAGGTCTTCCGTGTTCTGCAAACCATTCATTTGCAATGGACCTGGTAGTGGAGAAACGGTCCCTTAAGGCCAATAATCTTAGGCGGCGATCTTCATGGTCTATTGTTCTACGGCGGCGTCCACTGCCTCTTGCTCTTTGCGTACGGCCTTCTCGAAGCCATGCCTGACAACACCTAACCACAGTGTCTACACTTCTTTGCACTCTAACTGCAATGGCCCGAAAAGAAAGTCCAGCTTCCCGAAGTCCCACTATACGGCTCCTATCAAACTCACTAAGCTGACGAAATCGTACAGGTCTCCGTACTCTAGGCATCGTAACCGATCGTTAAGGATGTCAAGAACCAAAATCCGCCAACGTTGATTCTTTACTGCGGCTGAAATATTCATTTTTAGAGCGTTAGTGAATTAAAAAAAAAGCAGTATAAAAACCGGAATGTCCAACTGATAAGGCTGAAAATTTTTTCACTTGTTATTTACAGTAAGATAAATACATTCACCAACTTTTATTAAAATAAAACCATTTAAACTGGGTGTTTGGATTTATATGTCACTTAGTATACTTCAGTAATTTTTGTAGACTAACTTTTATTGAGACATCAGCAACAGTTGAGAACAGAAGAACAAGTAACGAAATGAGTACAGAGAATGGTCAAAGACCCTTTTTATATTATAAGATTACACTTACGAATTTTCCAGAAATCAGTAGGCTCGGGTAAAAATGCAAACATCACATCCTGTCTCACGAGTATGGGACGGTGTTATACTCGTAGGGACTTAGATGGTGTTAATGCTTCAAGGATACCATAACTTACATGCACAAAAACATTTTTTGACAAAAAAATGAAAACCTTGTTTTTTAGTCATCTATATACACACCATGAAACTATTAGATGAAAAGGATTTAGAATACTGCTGCAAACAGAAAGTTGAAACAGTGAAAGAAGGAGCGGTCGTACCTGTCAGTTATGGGTGTACGAAGTAGGCTTATCGCGCCGCGGCCATCATGGAGGAGAGTTCTGAGGTGCAAATTCCGTTGACATAGCGGTAGAAAAGAGCTTGATCGCCGGTAGTGACATAACTGGGATTAGGATGTAGATCAAATCAAATCATTGGTAGGCGGAGGTCAGAGTTTTGCTTACTTCTGCAGGGTATTTTGAGTTTTTCAAACTGCCCTACTCACTTGTTTGCTTTCCGTTCATCTGTCTCCAGGACTACTAGACCTACACAGAGTTGCCTTCAGTACGAATCAGCGCTGTCCGCGGTTGGTCGTCATAACAGAGACAAAAGCAAACATGTCCAGTTCAATAATTAAAAATGCACTAAAAAATGCCTTGGTTTTGGAATCAAGCACCTCTTTATTCAGATACAGTTGCCGAAGAACAGTAGCATAACTTTTAGACACATCATTCGCATGAGAAATGAAATTAGGATTTTCTTCAAAAAACACACCCAAAATTTTCACATCTTAATAACGTGATCGTTTGAAGATATGTTCAAATTATTTTTAACAGCAATTTTTAGATTTTTAAGAGAAAAAATAATAACTTTATTGGATAATTTAGATTTTGTATTATTTGAACTTCTGCGGTTTCAAAATTTTTATGATTGAAGCTTTGATATAACTGCAACCTTCCCAAAATCCACCTGGATGGTCAAAAACCAGCACGCGACCTTATGAGCCTCCCTGATGTGCATTGTACGGATATTATACATATAAAGAAGATAACATTTAAAATAACTATGAACGTTATTGACGCTTCGACTGTCATTGTAGTTTTTCACGGATTCAGCAAAATAAACCAATTCTAACAAGAAACTCGTAAACCTCATCCGCTACTGTCAACAAAAAACCCATTTGCCAATAGTATCAAAGTTTCAGCAAACGGTGACTAAACACGGTCTATTTGTCCTCTGATCAACCTTTCACCCCCAGTAATTCGACCCGTATGAGAAGGAAACGACGAATCGACACGAGACAACTTTAAAAATTATGTCTGTTGAGCCAGCCAAAAAGTTCTTTATTTGTTTCCCCGTTAACGCTCATCCCGAAAAGATAAAAATTGGATTTATGGCCGACGCGGCACTTTCGATATTTTACGGCGTTAATATATCGATAATTTTCCGCTCTTTTACACAGGGGGCGGTTTCCTATTAATCGGCTTAAAAATGAACGATCGTTTGATTTATTATTGGAGATTATCTACACCTGTCCGCGTGCCGAGGGCGGCTCTTCATGTCACTATATCCCTTTAGAATACTGTCTCGATTTAATTGCAATTATGCAATATTTGAATTAAAAGGTGAACTTCCATTCATGAGGGTACTGGTCGACGAGCCCTGAGATGGGCCCCCAAATTTTTTTTCTGGTTGGTTTCGTCTATGGAATGGTTTGCAGCCAAAATGATATCAAGGTGTAGGTTCACCAGGAAGGAAGAAGAATTCCGATATGAATATATTTTAAACGGAATTGACGTTCGGCAAGCGAGTCATCTTCATCATCACACTAGAAGGTTCATCAGTCCACAACACGTACCTTATTCTTCTCCGCGCGACATTGCTTGATTGACTTTCCCTTCCAACAATTGCATAAACCCTTATGGCATAATATAGAAGCCACTTGACCAGTTATCCTCAAAATTAAAGCTCAACCAGAAGCAGTCTAGGTAAGCTTAGGAGACTTTGATGGTTGCAAAGCTGCAGACGGATTTTGTCGGAAAAATTTTCAGTTCCTAAGGAACACCTTCTTCTAGATCATTGATTCCCAAAGTGGTCTATATCGACCCCTAGGGGTCTATGACAACATGCAAGGGGTCTACGTCAGCGAAAAAAAATTTGGGGGTCCATGAAATGAATATGGGAGTCCACGATAGTGGATCTCAACACATACACTACTTATTTACTTACATCATACTATCTTATAATATCAAAACATATACATTATTTATAAAAGTACCTATGAAGTAAAACATTTATTATATATGTTTATAAAATTGTGTAAGTTGTAGGATGTTGGTATTCGCTTTGTGGTCGCAATACATATTGAACTTGTAAAAACCTGCTTCGCTACCTTGCACTGACTTGTTCAATTCGTCACTCTATAAATACGAATGTGGTATTTGTCCCACGTTTATTCGTTTCCTGAATCTTGGAAAGGAAAGTGCTAAGAAAATATTAAAAAAAATATAAACAGATAGTATATCCACACAAATTATAGTGAGTCAGTGTCATTCTGTTTGAGAGTGCTAGAGAAAAGTAAGTACATTATTTTTTATTAAATTTTAGTTTTGTACTCGTAGATAGCAAAGATAGATAAATTACGCCAATCATGACTTTAGTTATTAGTAGTTAAATATTCAATCATGCAAAATTACACGAGTACTCCTCAATAGTTTCTTTTTGAAAGTTTTAGCAATCGGTAATATAATTACAGTGCAATCTCCGTAATTCGAGCTAATTGTTGCAAGAAGATGTTCGAATTATGGAATGTTTTCGGAAAAATCAAAAAATATTTTTAATATACAGCTGCTGGATTTTCTGTCTTATTTAAATAGTTTAATTTTGCCCACAGATGACTGATGCCATGTCCGAATCTAAAAAGAAATGTAGATATTACAGTGTTGATTATTTGAAATTTGGCCTCATTCCAACATTGCCGGACAAACAATCGCCTATATGCCTTTTATGCAACAAATGTTTGGGCAATGACGCTATGAAACCATCTAAACTGCAAGATCATCTGGGAAGATGCCACCCTGATAAAACAGAGAAAGATTTGAAATACTTTCAAACACTCAAAGATAAATTTCAGAAGAGACCGACACTGGACAGAATGTTCGCTTCGACGTCACAAAGAAATGATGATAGTTTGCGGGCGTCTTACAATATCTCGTTACTTATAGCAAAATCCGGAAAACCGCATATTATCGGAGAGAAGTTAAATTTGCCAGAGGTTTTAAAAACTGTTTTACACAAACCTGCATCTGATATCATTAAAAGAATTCCCTTAAGCAACAATACTGTTGAAAGACGTATTGATGAAATGAGTTCTGATATTGAAAGCTTCTTATGTAATTATTTGCAAACGACCCATTTCTCTATACAACTGGACGAGTCAACTTTACCTGATAATGCAGCATTATTATTGGCATATGTTCGTTTTATTATGAATCAAGAAATCTACGAAGAACTGCTCTTCGCAAGAGCTTTGATAACCGACACTAAAGGTGAATCAATACTTCATGTTTTGAAGGACTACTTCATTGAAATATCAAATATAATATCAGTAGCTACAGATGGAGCACCTGCCATGGTTGGACGTTATCGTGGATTTATAAGCTATTTAAAACAAAATGTGTCAGGGGTGTTAGCAATACATTGCGTCATCCATCAACAACATTTAGTTGCTAAAAATTTGAGTGTTAGATTGCATGAATCACTTCATTTAGTCATTGATGCAGTAAACCGAATCCGAAGCAACGCGTTGAATACCCGGTTATTTGCGCAGTTGTGTGAAGAAAATGACGAACACTTTTATCAATTACTCCCTCACACTGAAGTACGCTGGCTGTCGAAAGGCTTATGTTTGACAAGATTATATGCACTTTTTGAGACTATTTTAGAATTTCTGGATACTAAAGATAAAATTTTAAAAGAAAATTTAATGAAGAGGAAAACAGACATCGCCTATTTAACAGATTTGTTTACAAAATTTAATATTGCAATTACAAGGCGACAGTTCAAATTTGATTAAAACAAAGTCCATCTTATCAGCGTTTCTTGCCAGAGTTAAACTAATGAAGCAAAATACTGGACGGGGCGAATTTTCTCAGTTCCCCAATTTGTCACAGACAAGCTGCCAGGAAGACGACGTTTCAACTTACGTTCAACATTTAAATGCCCTTTATTCAGATTTTGAATCTAGGTTTGAGGATATTTTGACTATGGTAATACCACCGTGGATAATTAATCCATATGGTGACATAGAAGAAACGAATGTCATAATACAAGAGGAACTGAATGAACTAAGTACAAACGGAGAACTTAAGGTTCAGTTTAAAAACGGATATCAGCAATTCTATTATGGAATATAGCGAGGAAATTTTTAATTTACTTTCCATCGTCATACCTAGTGGAAAGGGGGTTCAGCGCTGTTACCAATCTCCTAACGAAAAAAAGTAACAGACTGGACATCATTAGCCGAGGAGATTTAAGATTAACCTTTACAAAATTGACGCCAAATGTTGATAATTTATTATTAAAGCATCAGGTTCATCCTTCTCACTAAAAATATTGACTTATTGCTTATGTTATTTTATTTATAGTTTATTTTATTTTTTTTGGTGTCTGACCAATAAATGCCCGATTTGGGAATAAGTGCCCGCATTGCTTTTTTTAAAGGACCCCCCCTTTATAGAAAATGTATTTTTTTTAAATTCTTCTGAAAATTCAAGGACACACAAGTACACACTAAAATTTTTTGCCTATTTTTAGATAACTTGTATAAGAAGCGGAATTTAATCAAACTAACAGTGAAATTATTGTAGAACATACGTTTATGTTATAATTAATAAACGAACTCGCTTATTGTCCTATTTTAAGTAAAAACACTTTTTTTTATTATTTTTCACTTTTTTTTTATTTTATCCCTCTTATTTTTTTTTTCCAATGCGGGGCACTTAGTCCCAATGCGGGCACTTATTGGTCAGACACCTGTTTATTTAACGTTACGTATATTTTACATAACAGATAAAAAAAATTATTTTGAGTAGTTTTAATTTAAATTCAATTAATAAATGTATAAATTAACATGTGTTTTCACTTTAAGTTTTTAACACTAAACTTCACTACAGTTAGAAATTTACAGGAAATCAATATCAGGTAACACGGAAAAACATGGCAAGGGGTCTACGACACAAAGAGTTTGGGGAACTCTGTTCTAGATGTTGGTTTATAATTATTTTAGTGTCTTGGATAGCAGTTACGGGTGACATTGCTGACCAGGGTGTAGGATAGTTCTGATGGGACTAATTCGGTTAAAATATTTTCAAAATCCCGATCTTTCGGTTGTAGTGGACGTAACATAGATACAAACCTGCTTATTTTAAATAGAACACCCTGTATATTATTTAATTTTTCAAGTACACTCCATGTATTATACCTGACCTATACCTAACTGTCACCGTTTTGAGATACTTCAAATTTTGCATAAAATATGACAAACGCAGGGATTTACTTTAGGAGATTTTATTCCGGATTTGGATAACAAATAGTCGAGAGGGTCAGAAAAGAGAATGAGGATTAGATTTTAGGAAACACAAAATTTAATTTTCTAAAAAAGAAACCACCTTTTTATAATTCCGTCGTATTGGATTTTGAAAAAAACTTTTTATAGGCTTGTCTACTTGGCGAATTAGTAGTTTCCGAGACATGAAAATATTCGCCTGTATGTTACTTTAGTGATGCATGAGGCTCTTAACATAAGATAAACTCTGTTGATCTTGGGGGAAATTGGCCGAACTACATACATTTGTCACGCTGTCACCGGGTCATCGCCAACTGAGATTATCTTACACCTAACGAAAACTTTTTAAGTAACCTGTCGTTGCAGCTATACGTGGGCTACTTTGCATATACAGGGTGACTTCGAAGTTGAGTCATTTATTTTAACAGTGAGTAGATCTGATCAAAAGAAATGTTTTTTTCCTTTACCATTTTTCTGGTAAAATTAAAGTAACAAAGTTATAGCCCTTTGGAAGTTTGAGTACCGCCCTGTCTCAATAATAATATCATGTACTCGTGTTTGGCAACAACGGATATAATCCGCCTTACCGGTTCATCGCATCGGAAACAAAAAAGCGAAAGAATTTGGAACGACGTTTTTGCAATTAAGTGTTTTATTCAGTTCAGTTATACATACAGTCAGTATCTGTCGGTTAGCGTGTGAATAGTTTCTGTTGCGTGGCTCAAACGAAATAAAAAATGGCACATGTTTATGCGGATCGGTTTCCCAATCGAGTGCAACCAACCCCTCGTGCCTTTGTTAATGTAGTACAACGGGCTCGTGAATCAGGTGACTTAAGACCTCACAGGGGACCTCACGATCAAATACAGGTCCGCACTGAAATACTTGTCGGGAGGATACTTTATAAAACAAGGTAAATTTTTTTTTTAATTTTTTTTTATTTTTACACACATATTCTGGTTTATCTTCCTTCTACAATCATTATCTGAAAATTAATGACTCAACTTCAAAGTCACCCTGTATGTCAGTAAAACTATATAATAACTAATGATGATTGAATTAGTAATTCCAAAGACTCACCATCGTATGCTGGACCAGTGCAGGTAAAAGTCATACGCAAGGTTCAGCAATAAAACTGTAACACCTGTTTCTTTGGCAAACATACTCAAGGCTCCTACAATGATGCTTATCCATATGTGACATTTCGGTTGCCTGAAACAAATAAAACCATAGAATATAACGTCTGCACTTTCAACGATATCATTTTAGCAGCTTAGGGCATATCTTGAAATTCTAAAGGAAATCGCAGTGAAATATACCTTCGAGATTTTTAATACTTGGAGGCATGTGCATCACTATAACCACTGATTTTGTCGATTTGCATATCGCTGGTGTATTGTTCAGGATACCTGTAATAACTTTGTAAGTACCACACTCAGATTAGGTCGAAGCTTTGAAGAATGGTAACCAGTACAAAAAAACTGCGCTTGTTTTGTGAACCACTATAATTTTAAATACTACTTCGTAGGGGGAGCGCCCACGGGACAAAGTAGACTCATACAGTCAGGTCATTCCATCAAGAAAAATTGGGCCTCTACCTCATCGATCATCGTTCCATGTTAGCCTGGGGCTTCCCATCTTCCTGTATCTCTGCAGGTTCCAGTCGTAGTGTGTGATGTCTACCTCCACTTTTTTCACATTTTTTCATCGTATTTCCTCCACAGCTCTTCTATTAATACTGTCCTTGCCCAAAACCCATACGTCGAGATCTATTATTCTGTCTGGTTCTGGTTCCGTTCGTAGAGGATTCATTGATGATGGAATCAGTCCCCTGCAGCCGACAGTTTTCCCGTAGCTCCGCCTTTTCTTCCTGAACTCCGCTTTCTATATAGTCCTTGTCGTGTGGCCTATTCCATAGCCATGTTGTCCTATTGTTCACCTGCTCGTTGAATAGTGATATTAGTTTTTTGTCGTTAGTTTATTCTCCACTGGGTTCTATTCCATGTCCTATCCGTTGATTAGAACTTTTTGAAATCTGATTTAGACATCACCTACTATGACCTTTTCTTCCTTCCGAATATCTCTGATCTTTTTTGTATAATCCTATCTTGTTTGGTGAGTCTATAATCTCTGCCCTTCTTCTCCCATTTTGTCATTTCAATTAAATATATACAGGGTGTCCGCAAAGTTGGGGTTTTCCTTTTCAGAAACAACGAGGGCGACCAAGTAAAAAAAAAATAAAGGAAAAAGTACTCACTCTCCAGTTGACGAGAAGGGCTAAGTACGTCTCTGCCGAAATCATACCGCTCCAACAGGAAATGAAATCAGCTGATGCGCTACCGAGCAGACGCAGGCAAACAAGGAAGGCAAAATGTTGCGTAAAAAGTCTGGATATTGCATCCCGTCCAATCGATTTGGGAGAATAAATGGTCCAATGAGCATACCGTTCACCATGCCAGCCCAAACATTCACCGAAAATGTTTGTTGAAAATGTGCCCCACGGACAGCGTGCGGATTTTCTACTGACCAAACATGAGTGTTGCGAAATTTATTCACCCCATTTTGCGTGAACGTAGATTCGTCTGTCACCAATATGCACTTCAAAAAGTCCGGATTATTGTCATGCTGATGCAACAACCACTCACAAAACCGCACTCTTGCTGGAAAATCGTCAGGTTGAAGGGCTTGTACACGTTGGACGTGAAACGGATACAGCCCCTCTTCACGCAGCGTTTTCCACACTTTAGTTATTGATACTTGCACTTCTCTAGCCACGTCTCTAGTGCTTGTTGAGGGATTCTCGTCTACGCGATTATCTCTACACGCGTGACCGTAACCGTCGGTTGAAGGTTGCATACTGACCTGACACACTGACCCCGACCCAGTTCTGTCGTCGGGTTGAGCTAGTGTACTAGTACCACTCGGGGATGTCGCGGCTACAGGACGGTATTCAGATATTTTTGATGTTGCAGAGCCCTTTATCTCAGTTCCCTTAAGACATTGGTGTATATGGTACTAAGAAAAATTGCTTATGTTTTCAAGATTCACACATCGTGTAAAGGAAAACCCCAACTTTGCGGACACGCTGTATTTCTGCTCCGCGATTTTGTTCAAATATGTTCTTATTCTTATTTCACAGTATAGCGATTGTCTAATCTTCTGTTTTGGCATCATATTCGGTCTCTAACCCGACGCCAGATATTACTAGATTATTTTTAACTTTGTCATACTCTGCTATTTTAATTATACTTACCAATATTTTTATTACGTTTAAGTGCACTATTTCTTCTCTGCTCTGAATTATTTTTTTTCATATCCTTTATGCTCTAATTAATGTTTGCTCTCAATAATGATATATCCGATTTTAGTCCTTGTTTGATTTTCCTTAGCAAATCAAGAATGATTTGCTAGTACGGACCTGGCTCTCGAAACCACTTGTTTATCAAAATATTATCATCTGTTCCATAATATCCTAACTATTGTTTGTTTATATTGTTGATGCAAGAAAATCAAATCAAATATACTTTTCAGACTTATCAACAATATGGGTTTCAAATAAACGACACTCCTTCATCAACTCACTTACAGTTTTATTGGCATTTTAAAAGCTATAAAATCAGATACATTGCCGGACGCCACATTTCACTTCGCTGCTTGTCAATAATAACCAAGGACGAATTCCTGGACAAAGTAGAGCTTTGCGTAACAACCTATTGGTTTTCAGGAAAAGGAAACGAGGGTGGGCTGGTCTTAGGCGGTCGTCGAGGAAAGGATGACTGCGGGTGCGTACCGAGGTAAATTTTTATAATAACAGGGTCGGATTTCGATTAGCGATCTAGCCTGTAAATCGTTTCCTATTTTGGTACTCAGCAAGTGATTATTTAGTATTGTTCTACCCTTGTTACTGTTCGTCGATATTGTGTTGTTGAATTGTTGTGTTGTACTCTTGTTGGTGTGATTGTTCATGAGTGAATTTTTTATCAAGGTTGATAATGGACAATAAAAGGTCATATGCGACAATTTTAATTACGAATTCAGTGAGTTTAATTCATGATGAGGACAACAATAGTGTGGAGCAGTTCAACTCTATAATCGCAAAATACATTAGGGTAAGCGAATACACTATTGCAAGAAGAGGTCATATGTGGTCCAAATACATTTGCGTTCTAAGCTTAGTCCAACCTCGCTTATCACTAAGATGGAACAAAGACTCAAACGCAACAATCTTGGAAAGAAACTCAGACCAAAAAAAGCTGATATAAAAATAACTATCAATTCGGATAGCAATTCCAAAGAGCAATAGCTTTATAGTGAATTCTGTCAAAAAACTGACATGAACGACATTGATTTGGAGGTTGCTAAGCAAGAATTTTTAGGGAAACTTAGAAAAAGTGACGACGAGATTTTGCATATCGAACAAGTCACCAAATCACAGGACTGTGCGTTGTGGCGTCTTCATCGGAGGATAAGGTTGATAGCGTCTCGATTTGCTGAAGTTTGTAGAAGAAGGCAGACAACAAGCTGTACAGCTCTAGTAAACTCCATCATATACCCAACAGAGTTTTCTAGTAAGGCAATAAAAAAAAGCAATACAAAAATCATTGGACACGGCAGTTCAATCTTGTGGTTTGTTTATTGATGGCACACATCCATTTCTGGCAGCATCACCTCCATCTACCTATAACAGTAGACAAGACATGTACTTAATCCGGGTATAAGCCTACCTGTTTAATGTTTTGCAAAAACTACCTAACTGTTTCCTGTTATTTTGACTGCATAATATATTTTTATGACCCTCGTTCAATTGTTACCCTCTACCACACGACCCTTGTAAACATTCTCGTGTTTCTTGACATGAATAAATGAATTTGAATTTGAGTTCTTGAATTTATTTTAGGAAAGATATAGAATTATTTGAATACAATTTTTCTTAGTCGGAACGCACCGTCTCGTCGCTTGGACTGGCAGGACGAAACAGTAGATGAATTTCGCCCAAAAACCGATTTGCACTTCACAGCTTACTTTTTATTACTTCCAAATGAAACTCTTGCAGCATGCTAAAAGCAAAGTCCCCACTTTTTCGATTTTAACCACTAGGATCGTTTTGAAATATCAAGAAGATGAGCACAAATAGTAAGCATTTCAACCCACCATAATTCTTGCGCAAAGACAAAATTTTGTAAAAAGCTCTGATACCACCCTAGGCAATTATGGCCTGCTTATATACAGAAAAACATCGCAAACTGCAGATCATAAAAGGTAACGGCGAAATGGGTACATTTCACGGGTTATGAAAATGCAGGTATAAAATCAACCAAATGATCGTTGTCAAAAACATATTTCCTTGACATATCGATAATTTTAAAGTTCCATGCTAAATTCCCCTATACTTGGCTGGAGTGATATCCGAATTTATTCTTGCAGATCTGTTGGCTCTTGGTGTCAAACCTATAGAGCATGTACCGATGTTTTCAAATCGTGAGCACATTATTCGTCGGATTTTCGATACTTAAATTTCCTGTAACCACTGGGATCAGAAGCTTCTTAGTCTTAGTAATAGAATGTGTTTCACTGATTTCAACTCCCCCTTTTTAAGCAGTACAATTTTTTTACGTCAATGATTAGGAACCCCTGAAACATCAAAAACGGAGTTTCAGCAATTGTTACTTTTTCTTTTTTGCCTATAGTACCGTTTCGACTGGACTAAAACTACAAAGCTTTGGCATACTAGTAACCCCGTGTGGAAATTTCATAAAAATCCGAGCGGTAATTTCCATCTTGATGATGAGTGATACAGTTTTTCGTGATGTAGATATCATATAACTTAAAAAACATCTCATTTTAGAAATTTTTCGCGATAACAATACTTCCTCGCCATGACGTGGGAAGCAAAACGGCTTTAAAAGCGAGGAGTATTAGCGATCGCGATTATGAGTACCTATTTGCAGAATGACTTATCTACGCGGTATTATATGAAATAGGGCCACCAAATTATCTGAATACGTCCTTTCTTAGTCCGTACAAGTTATGGAATCCTGATGATTACCATTTCAACGATACGGCTAACACCGTCCCGATGCCCTTGTGATTAGCGCCGTCCATCTGGTTTCTAGTTACAGCGTTAGGTGTTATCTTTGTGAGAACATTCCTGACTTTGCATTTTGCTATATTTTACTTCTTATAAACTGAATATGAAATGTAACTAGCGTTGT